TGATAGAGCTATCCAGTATAAATAAAGTTAGTTTAGTTTAGGTTTCCTCCTGTAGTAACACTGGATCAATAAGAGATGATCCTTACTGGACCTGTAGGAAGAACAGTTTAGATCTGATAAAGCTAACCAGTATAAATAAAGTTAGTTTAGTTTAGGTTTCCTCCTGTAGTAACACTGGATCAATAAGAGATAATCTTTACTGGACCTCTAGTGAGAACAGTTTAGAACTGATAAAGCTATCCAGTACAAATAAAGTTAGATTAGTTTAGGTTTCCTCCTGCAGTAACACTGGATCAATAAGAGATGATCCTTACTGGACCTCTAGGAAGAACAGTTTAGAACTGATAAAGCTAACCAGTATAAATAAAGTTAGTTTAGTTTAGGTTTCCTGCTGTAGTAACACTGGATCAATAAGAGATGATCCTTACTGGACCTCTAGGAAGAACAGTTTAGATCTGATAAAGCTAACCAGTATAAATAAAGTTAGTTTAGTTTAGGTTTCCTGCTGTAGTAACACTGGATCAATAAGAGATGATCCTTACTGGACCTCTAGGAAGAACAGTTTAGAACTGATAGAGCTAACCAGTATAAATAAAGTTAGATTGGTTTAGGTTTCCTCCTGTAGTAACACTGGATCAATAAGACATTATCCTTACTGGACCTCTAGAGAGAACAGTTTAGAACTGATGAAGCTAACCAGTATAAATAAAGTTAGATTGGTTTAGGTTTCCTCCTGTAGTAACACTGGATCAATAAGACATTATCCTTACTGGACCTCTAGGGAGAACAGTTTAGAACTGATACAGCTATCCAGTATACAGTTAGTTTGGTAAGTTTTATTTAAATTTTCCAAAATTTTCTGTATACTTACAAGGGCCACTAAAGGAGACCCAAACATTATGACAGTGATGATAACACACGTCATTCCCATTGTACTCAAGGATTCCTCCTCGGTTGGGATATAAAGTTTGAAATAACTTAGTAAAGTACAGGTCAACAACAGGATGTATAATGTGTGTCTAAATACTGGTTCAGTCTGCAAAAAAAATCAAATTATAAGTTATAGCAAATGTTTCATTCCCTATATTGTAAATGTCATAAATTGTCAGAGAGATTAATTAACACATTAACCCATCAACTAATGTGCCCCACTTTGTCATATTTTACTCTGTCTAACACCAGACAATTTTATTTATCAAGGGAGAGTATGTGTGTATCAAACTATAATTGCACATGTTTCTAGTTAACCCATTAACCCATTAAGGGGTTAACTAGAAACATGTACCTACTGTACTTTGTTATTTTACTCTGTCTCATGCCAGACAATTTAATTAAATTACTTGTCAAGGGGAGTGTGCTGGTGCTCAATGGGTTTATCAGACTATCACTGCACATGTTTCTAGTTACATACCCATGAGTCGCATTGTGCCCTGATGCGCCTTACTTTATTATTTTACTCTGTCTAATGCCAGACAATTTTACTTGTCAAGGGGAGAGTACTGGTGCTCAATGGGTTGACACATTAAGCTGCAATATGCACCCTTACCAACCCTACATACATCAATATTTCACTCCACCTAATGCCAGACAATTTTACAGAATGATTTTTCATGCTTTAGCTATTAAATAATGTTATTTTACCTTTGAATAAATAAAATGGCAAATTAGGTACATGCATTGCAATGTCATTCCAATCATATTCACAAACGTTATGGTTGAATCTCTTTTAGTAATACCATACATGATCCACATAAAACAACTAAAATAAAATAAAAAATGTCATGTCGTATACAAGATGCAGCTAGGTTAAATCATTATATGTTTTTACTATGACATTAACCCTTTAAGTGGCAATGCACCCCGATGCACCCAATTAATTATTTTACTCTAAGAATTCTTTTACGCCAGACAATTTTACTCATCAGAGGGAGAGTGCTGCCACTCGATCAATGGGTTAATTAATTTATCCAATTTTCAAAAATTTTGAAAATTATATTACAGTATAAGAAAAAAAATCCTAGAGTGCTACAGGGATTCCTATAAGAATAATTCATTAAATGGGCCAAAATGCGACAGGAATACGTTTCCTGTACCTACTAGGAATTCATATAGGAATTGTCATACAAAATTTCCTATTCCCTATATGTAGAATCTTATGAGAATTCTATTGTATCCTCTGAGAATTTGGGTGAAAGTCTACTAGGAATTCTTATAGGGATTGGGTCGTTCCAGAAAAGATCCATACTCCCCCCACGGAGGAAATTTCTGCCGTCCGGAGGGGGAGGGAAGAAAAAATTGTTTCTGATAATAGTAAATGTATTAGGACATCCAAAGGGGGTAGGGGGGTTAACTTCCTATTTCCTCCATGGGGGTGGTATGGATGTTTTCTGGAATGACCCATTTCTATAGAATTTCTCATATAGAACTGACCTGAAAGCAGTGACCAAAAACGGCAAGTGTGAGACATATTCTGTGCTGTTGCTTCTTATAATTTTTCGACAAGTAAAACTAACAAAAGGAAAGTTACAAATTAACACTTTAAGTAGCAATGCACCCTAATGTGCCCTACTTAATTCCCTTACTTTGCCTAACACTTGGCAATTTGACTTGTCAAGAGGAGAGCGCTGCAACTCAATGGGTCAATCAGACTATCTGCCCATGCATTGTGTAAATTTTTCGGTGGAAATGCACCCTACGTTACTATTTTAATCCGTCCAACGTCAGATGATTTTACCTGTCAAGGGAAGAGTGCTACAACTGAATTAGTGAAAGTCATCATTTCTGGCAGCTTAGCATTGAAATACAAAAGATATGATCAAGTTGAAATTGTACTAGTTTGCCCAGGGCTTATTTAAGGACTTCTAATTAGGTCAATTGGTATTACAAGTAAAAATCAGTGATTTCACTTGAATGTAAAACATATAAAAAATAGCAGTGTCAACTTGTTTTATCTGTAAAAATCCTGCAACAATACAACCTTTTTGAAGCTGTAAACAAATCAACAACGATCAACAACCATAATATGTGACAATAAGCCTGGGATCACATACACTAGGAATCAGTTGCATACAAATCCATCAAAACTTAGAATTTACCTAAGAAATGTTTGGGAAACTGACTCTGCGTTAAACAATGAAACAGTTCCCTCGACATTTCTTTCACAAATCCTTTAAAACTTAGAATTTACCTGGGCAAAATTCCTGCTGTGACACAGAGACTTTGATTGTGCATAAAGCCAGACCTTTAATTATGTACAGTATATATAAAAACACTTACATTCCAGTTGAGAAAAACAAAATATTATTCAAGGTAGCAAACCACGAGACGTAATACACCAAAGTCATTTTGTTCAGCAAATATACAGCACGATCGCGGTGAATATATCAAAGTTTTTTTAAAAAGAAAATAGAAATTTACAATAATAAACAATAAACATATTCATAGTGATTCATTCATAGAAAACACACCCGATTCGCATGTTGTGAAAAAGTCGAAGATTGCTCGCTCGCCTGCGCGCAGACACTCGATAATTTATTACTGAAAGACTCTGCGATTGTAAGATAGAAAACTAAACTTGTTTGGTAAGCTGAGTTTCTTGGAAATTTAGAATACTGTAGGTTCACGGAATTATTATAACTTTTTTAATCGGATCTCATTTCCAAATATTCTGTAAAGTATAGTAAGAAAATAATGAATTTTCTATATTATTAAACTGAAGACCATGTCAAGTCCGCAATATATGTAAACAAATCCTTTATTTACATTTTGAACTGCTATATTTGTAAAATAAAACATGCTAACTGATTATCTAACACTTTTCTGGTTCGCTATTGTAAATGAATATAAACTAGAGTACGTTTCAATTCAAAAAAGTTCGGAAGATGCAAATTAAAATTTGGGCAATGTTTATTTCTGTGTGCCCCCTTTGTTATGAGCACTGGCTGATGCGCAGAACGGACTTGACATGATTACAAGTTCGCAAAATATACTTGAAACTGGACGAATTCGAGCACAGTTAACCGTACAAATTTTCGTATGGACCGGAGCCAGATTACATACAGTTCTGAATTATTTCAGTCTTCTGCTAAACTCGACGCAATTGATGCCATTCGGCAATTTGTTTCTGCGGCGAGGCTAGCATTTCACTCCAATGACGCATCTCCAGAGCCTGACTGGAGTCCAGTCCAAGTTTAACGACGCCAATTTTCGTCTCGTATCGTAATTTCGAGTCACCACGCGTCGCCTCAAACGACAACATAGCATCTTTGAGCAACTCGCTATTCACTTCAAACACGAGCTTCTCGTTGAAGATGTAACTATTGTTCTTGCGACTTCCTTTTGTTTTGCGTCTGTAGCAAGCTTCTGATGTCTCCAGCGTTATTTTTACACAAAGGTCTGGCAACGATAAAAAATATATTGTCGGTATGCAGTGACTTCTCTTTTCTAATAAAAAACATTTAACATTTACCACATACAGATTCGTTGAGCGAACCTTTTGAATTAAACGTTACAAACTTTGGAATACCCTGACAATTTTAGATGCACACAATGGCGAAGTCAGCCATAGCAACTGGTCAAATTTTTTATGATTTGCATTATTCAAACTTTTACTGAGAAATGTATCGTCTTTAACCTATTTACTAGTGCAGGTTTATTAACACAGCATGACCATGACTATTACAATACTTGGAATTATTCGCTTACCAGATCCAGCCAAAGATACAGCACTCTTTGAAGGTATCCCATCAGCTTTGAGAATGATGACCTGCAACTGTTGTGCCACACATTGGTTGCACAGTGAGATAAGCAATGATCCTCTGGGCGCTAGCTATGATTAAATGCATGGTAAAATATTAGCCATTGAACTGGCAAATTTACAGTCTAACTGGTGAAACTATGATATGATCATGGCTACCCGACAGACTGACAAACAAACAAACGAACAAACAGATATACAGTAAGCCAAAACTAAACTAACTTTATTCATACTGGATAGCTCTATCAGTTCTAAACTGTTCTTCCTAGAGATCCAGTAAGGATCATCTCTTATTGATCCAGTGTAACTACAGGAGAAAACCTAAACTAAACTAACTTTATTTATACTGGATAGCTCTATCAGTTCTAAACTGTTCTTCCTAGAGGTCCTGTAAGGATCATCTCTTATTGATCCAGTGTACTACAGGAGGAAACCTAAACTAAACTAACTTTATTTATACCGGTTAGCTCTATCAGTTCTATAAAACTGTCCTCACTAGAGGTCCAGTAAGAGTCATCTCGTGTAGATCCACAATTGCATGTGGCTGGAATGGAACCCGGGTCATGGAATAAAACTCTATTCCTTACCATAACTTTCTGTTGTAACATGAGTTCTTCACATATTGTCACACCTTCACGCAAGTCACCCAGATCCCCCAGGGGAACCAGCACTTCTGCCACAAACTCACTTCGCGAAAAGCGATCAAAATCCAGCACCACAAATTTTAACAAACAATCTCTTAGATCTTCATCTGCAATGCCATCTAGCTTGCAACTTGGATTGGACGGAAGGTTTAGGATCTTGGACGATGAACTACGAATTGCTTCGCAATCCGTGTTGGAACTGATCAGGGTGACTCGTATATAAGGATTACTAATTCCCGACATCCAGCTGAGCGAATGACCTTTCTTGCCAAGTATCTGTACGACGAAAGAGAAGGGTTAGAATATGTAGTATTTACAATATGAGCGGTCATATTGTATCGGATATACACACTTTTATATATCCGATACAACACCGACGCGAATGTTGTAATTGGCTTGTGAAACGTCTTGATAAGAACGTTTGTATTCTTGAGAAAATTGAACTTAAAGTCTATGTAAATCAGCATGAAAATATGTAATATGTCATGCAAAGGTATCAGATATATAAACTCCTTCAGTCATGATTTATTTTGTTTATTGATGAGATTTAAATACCACACTCGAACATATAACTAAATAATCGTATAATAACTTGCTGATTCAGTTCATATTAAATAACTTCACCTGTACAGAAAGACAGTTTTCGTCATCTTCGTACTTTAAGAAACATTCGATCTTTCCATGAGGTGTTGTTCGAACATCTTTAAATGCCGTGGGACTGTGTCCTTCTGACATTGTACGCAAGAGCTTTGGCGATTGTTGTAAGAGAGCAGGACCTAGCCTCGCGCTTAGTGGGAATAAACCCTTGGTGTAATCTGGTGAACCAGATCTACCATCCTCTGGATGGAGCCGTGATGGTGGTATGGTAAACTGGCTTGGTGTGGTAGGTGTGATTATTGGAGTAAACTGTGATGGTACACGCTGGTAACGAACTTCGTGTAGCTTCAACGGTGTTGGACGATGCCGGATAATTTTCTCGTTTGGTTTCGTATTCTCCATTTCTGTGCTTTGCTGTTGGGCGCGCTTTCGTATGAAGTATCTACAAGCCAGCAGAAACAGTATGACCAGCGCCAGGAGAATCGATAAAGTGATTGCGACTATTTTGGTAATTGGGTAGTCCATGGTCCTGATATATAATGCCATCAGACGCAAGACAGTGCTGAATTAGTACGTTTCATTTCGTATATAATACGGCATTCCTTGATTTGGTAAATAATTTATTCCCTCAGAAACGAGAATGTAATTTTTTCCACACAACAAACGCCAGAGGACTATACCTTGTTTCAAACAATAGTTTAAAACGCCAATTGCCAAACCGCATTGAAATGTAAACACGTTTAATTTAAATTTGAACTCGACCAATGGTAATCATTTTCATTTTGCGCGCAGACAAGGACGCAAAGTTTCAAATTACAAGAGCGTAGAATATCAGGGCTTCCAGCTGCGCATATTTGGTGAATTGTATATTTGCTGACCACAGTTTAATTTGAAATTGACAGTTAAATAGTTTCGTTGATTATGTTAACATTTTCCAGCTTGATTTAATTGGTTGTTTCGGTTGTACAAGCCTGTATTCTTTGTACTATTTGTACAAAGCTTGTACATACATGTACTACACAACCTTGCTGACCTCAACATACTGACATACAACCATGTTTCACAATTCCATGTTTTTGAAGTATCATCACGGAACCAAAGAAATAGGTTTCGCTATTTTCAATCACCATATATCTATGGAAATACACTCATTTTTATTTGCAGTGCGTTCTACATGAAGCAAAATTTGTTTTTTTAATTAATATTAATATCACACCAGATCATATAAGTATAAAGGTACATACACCCGTACATTATTTTCCAAGTGCCGTTAAACGACTTTTTCAAAGTTTTTGTATAGCAAGTAACCCCCCAACTCCCCAGCTACAGGCAGTTATAGCTATCCAGTTAGCTATTGGATTCTACAACGATTATATCATTGTATTAATGCGTTAGTCCGTGTGCTAATCACTGATGATTACTGATTCTTTATTCTGTAGACCTCTTAGTGGTCCTGGTGTCAGTGCTGAATCCTAAAACCACAAAATAATGGAAATTAATCAAGAGTGTTTATAAGACTAAATTATGAACCTTTATGCCAGATGCAATGTGTTCTCGCCCTGATAACTGAAGTGCTGTTATCAGAGCGAGAAAACATACTGCAGGTTGGCTGCCATCTGATGCACAATAATGCTAAGTTAACCCACCTACAGCCCAGGTGCTCTCGACCTAATTGTAACAGGTTTAGTTTTCAAAAGAAACGGCCAACAAAAGCTTTGCACAGTTTGATCGACAAGCTCGACCACCACAAAGAAAACGTAAGCGTTTTTGATGTTGTTTCCCTTGTTCTTGACCAGACCATAAACATAGCTTCCTTCCTGGTTTTTGTAAACACTGTCCAAGTCAGCCATGTAGTCGTATGTTGCCCCTTTCTGTGTCTGCATTTTTGTGTACAGCTCAGACCAACCTTGAAATAAAACAATCTGCATGAGATTGGTGTCTTCAGTTTGACTGGAGTAACACTGGATAAATCGAACATATAGTCCTTACTGGACCATGTAGTATTTAACAGTTTAGAACTATATAACTATCAAGTATAAATAAAGTTAGTTTAGTTTAGATTTCGTCCTGTAGTAACATTGGAACCGAATAAGGGCTGGCTGGCTTTGGAGAGCCGGCAGTTCAGAGTTGATAGAGCTATGCAGTATAAATAAAGTTAGTTTAGTTTAGGATTCCTCCTGTAGTAACACTGTATCAATAAGAGATGATCCTTACTGGACCTCTAGGGGGAACAGTTTAGAAATGATAGAGCTATCCAGTATAAATAAAGTTAATTCAGTTTAGGTTTCCTCCTGTAGTAACACTGCATGGATCAATAAGAGATAATCCTTACTGGACCTCTAGGAAACCAGTTTAGACCAGATAGAGCTGTCCAGCCAACAGTAGACTATAGTTAGTTGTGGAGCATACTTACCGTCCTTAGGCCTATTACAGGCAATGTCGTCGACCCAGTCAGCAAGTCGTTGAACAAACGTTCGAACATTAACAATCTGCATCAGAGAAAAGACAGTGAAGTAAACCACGCCGTCTTCAATTCTTTGTTGCGATCCTTCCACTCTCTTGCGCTGAATTTTCATGTATTCTTCTTTCAGGTTGATTCTTGTCACTCTGACTGAATCGACCGTTTTGGTCCAACTGCCCTCTGCCTCTGCTTTATTTTGTGAAAATGAAGAAAAATATTAAAATACTCTGCCACTGAAAGCTGGCATGGTTGTAATATAAACAAAGATCTCAAACTCGTAATAATTCATGACTAGTAAATTAGCCAACCATATTGCTTTATTTTGCTCACATGCATGATAATACTGGATACCTGATGAAGTACATTGATTCAGTCCTAGGACTGGGTCAAAATTAATTCAGTCCTTGGACTGGATCAAAATTAAGTAGTGGTTTATTCCTATAAGCTAGATGTCATTTCAAATCCTCCAATTCGGGCTGGACTAGATTTCAAGTCCTCGCATTTCGATCCAAATTGCGCGGACTTGAAATAGTCCTCATATTCTTATTTGAAATATATACATAAAATTCAAGGC